CTTTCTCAGCAGCTCCACTGCATTATTTGAAGTTATGTTTCAATTCCCTGGAAATTTGTCTGTTTCAGCTGTTGCCAGAGCATCTCTTTGGATAGTCCATTACCATTTATTTTCTGTGTACCTGCTGCTCGAGAAAACCAGAATTTTGTAGTTGGAAGGGGGTTCATAAATAATCATCCTCTCAAATTTTTGATGAGGGAACTGAGATTTGGAAAAGTTAAATTATGTTATATCCAGAGCACTCAGCCAATAAACTGCAGAAGTAGGATGGGAACTTGTGAACACTGACTGTTAGTGTAGAAGTGTTTTAATCACGTCTGGAACATTTCCTCAGGGACAGGAAAGCATTTACCCTCCCCTGCCCTCTCAGTAGGTAGGAGTCTAGCCTTGTCTTGCCTTGGGACCCTTGGTAGAAAGGTTTGGTGTTGCCAGGCTGAGTGAGGTAAAACCCCTTTGCATATGTAGGGTAGGTACAAAACCAATGAGAAAAGAATTAGATGTTTTATTTTCGCTGGAGCAAAAAGGAATACCCACCCCCTCTTTTCTTTCAGAGCATGTCCTCAGAAAACTTGGAATGTATATAAACCCTTTTAAAATTTAAATAAGCCTCTTCCCTGCATTACAAGCCAGGAATGTTTTGCTCAAGGACCACCTCTTGAGAGCCATCTCTTTGAAATGTAATCCTTAGGGAAAAGAGTGTCCCCCCCCCTCTCAGATTTTGTGGGAGGGAAGGAGGCAGCTTCCCTGGGCACCTCACTTCAAAACTAACACATCCCTCCATAAGATAGGAGAGGTATGTTTCTCCCCTGGGTACAGCCAATGATCTCATGCCAGGACCAACCCAATTACCAGGTGAATCTGGGAAGGAGTCTGTGTGACAAATGGTACTCTCAAGTCCTCTGCCTTGAGGACCAGTTACCAGTTAGCTTGAGGGCTTGTATGCCATGTTGCATCTGCCTGGCTGCATAAAACAGTGAGATTTCTTTCTGCCTGCAATTCTTAGTCGATTGCCTGTGATAATGGTCACACTCTGGTTTCATGCTTAATTGATCCTAAAACTGTTTTCTTTTACCTTTGTGGACAGGTTATCTGAGTTGGCAGGAGATTTTGTTTTAATTACATTTTTCCAACACATGATAAACAATAGTGAGAAAGAGGGAGGAAATAGGAGAACAAAATTGCCTGGACTGGGAGAAGTGAAGTTTTTAGAAGGCTTCGAGGAGAAAAAGAGTCTCAAAAGGCAATAAAATGAGAGTGAGGATGGGAGAAGAAAAAGAGCATTTTCAACAAATTAGGTGCTACATGCATTTTCCTTCACAGTGTTCAAGAACTAGAAATAAAGGACTTGAGTTAAAACTTGAAATTACTTTTGGCTACGTGGACCATAATTATCCACTACATTTGGTTAAAAATTGAAATTACTTTGGCTGTCTTGTGTTCTGACCGTAACATCACCCTGGGCCTAAACAGAACAGGCAGCAGCTTTGCAGCTGTGCAGAGAAATCTCATCTTTCTTCAGACACATTCAGCCACACACTCACCTCGGTGCACTTCGCACATCCCAACTAGGTTAATCTTCTAAAAAACATTTGAACCAACATATCAATAGAGAAATGGATAAAGGCTAAATAAACAATTTAAACATTCACATTGACAATACATATATAAAATTATTGAAATGCCCTAGAAATGAAGAAAATGAAATTTAAGATAACCATGATATATCAATTTTCACTTGGCAAAGATGTAAAATAATAATTTTCAATTTAGATAGAGGTGTGGGAAAAGGGGAATTCTCAGAATGTAAATTGCTATCACTTTTATAGTAATGTATATATTAAAATGTACATATTATCTGATCCATAATTTTCCTTCTGGAATTGTAGTCAATAGAAATAATCCGACAATATTCTTATAGCACTGCTTTTAACATAAAAAACTTGAAAACAGCCCTGGCTGGTGTAGCTCAGTGGATTGAGCGCGGGCCTTCGAACCATACAATCGAGGTTCAATTCCCAGTCAGGGCACATGCCTGGGTTGCAGACCAGTTCCCTGCAGGCCAGTTCCCAGCAGGGGATGCACGAAAGGCAACCATACATTGATGTTTCTCTCCCTCTCTCCTTCCCTTCCCCTCTAAAGATAAATAAATAAAATATTAAAAAACAAAACAAAACAAAACAAAAACTTGAAAACACTGTAATAGCCAACCAATAAGTTTGATAAATTATACTATATCCATATAAAGAAATACTATTTAACTATTAATATGATTTTTCAATGCCCATTGACTTGGAAAAATAACCTTAAAATCATGTCAAACCAAAAAAAGCATATTACATAATAATACACATTATAGTTTCATTTTATTTATTTATTTATTTATGTTTTCCCATTTTATTTAAAAGCATTTTGAAGGACATAGCAACACGTCACACTGATTATTTTTTTCAGTATGAATAAGCCTTTATTCTTTCACTTTATTTTCCCAGAGAAAAGGGGAGGACAAAGTCAGCATGCATTTTACAAAATGAAAGATAACAAGTGGAAGTGGCCGGCACGGCAAAATCAACCATCAAGTAAACAGTCCCCAGTAACGGAGGTCACCAAACCCCAAGGGGGCAGTCTCCTGCGGTTCAGAAATAAGAAGGAATCAGGGAAAGAACCGACAGGCACATGCTTTCCCTCTCTCCCTTACACCCCATAAATTCAAAATTTCACACAAAGCTTTGGTTTCTAGCAGTAAACATGAGTTATATTCCTCCGTCTCCTATTAAACAATCTTGTGGCTCCTTTGACATAAGTTTTTTGTACCCACATAAAAGTTCCTGAGTGACGTGGATATACATTTGTCTTCCTTTTTTTGGTCTCTCAACCCCATTTTCAAAATGAAAGGCCCCCTCATTGCTCCTCTACCCTAGGATCAGAGATTAAAACACAGCGGTCTAAGTGTCTGGCATGAATTCCATATCAAGGAATGGTCTGGATTCAGGGTATTGGGAAGAAGGGTTGGGGTATTTTTAGCTTCTTCACAATATTTTTCACAAATCATTTAAGAGATGAGGTGACACCCATACATTTACCGTGTATGTGGGTGTATATGTGGGCTTTTGCAGTGGCGGATGTAGTAGATAGAAGGGGAGATAGAATAGGAGTCAAGCTTTTAGGACAGAAGATCTGGTCCAAAATGCAAAAGAGGGGAAGAGGAAACAAAAGAAAGAACGAGTCCAGATCCCCACTTCAAGAAGAGGGGTCCCCAAGCTTATGTTTCAGATCCTTTTGCCTGGTGCGGAACCTTTTGTCAAAGATACGTTGGCTATTTTTCTCAATAAAAAAAGACTAAACACTAAAACCCCAAAAGAACACGGCAAAGGGCCAATACATTTACACAAACTAGGTCACTTAGCAATCACCAGATCGGCTACTTGGAAGTCCTGCAAAGCCCAGACAAACACAGTAACTAATTGGGGGAGATAAGAACCCAGGATCAGACACGCAGAACCTAGTGCATTGCATTTGCCCTGTTTCGACACAGTGAGGAGGGGTTTCAGTACATGAAACCTGCTTTTCTCCTTCAGCTACTGTGACTCTAGTCACTGCCACAGCAGGGCAGGACACTGGCTCTGGGCATCACAAAAAAGCCATCATTTATGGTCTCTCTGGAGGCCGAGAGAAAAAGCAAAGAATTTTTAAAGGTTGAGGAATTTAGTCGTTGCTTCATATATCTATCCCTGGACAGCTCAAAACGGGTAGAGAGGTATTGTTTTTAAAACCTGTCTTTGTCAAGTCATTTTTTAACACACACACACACACACACACACACACACACACACACACACACACACACACACACACACACTTTGCTGTGCATGGTAAGCCTAGCCCAATCCAGTGAGGGATGGAGCTGGTGTGTAATGTGAGTCCCACTGGAACTAGAGGTCTGGAACAGGAATCCTTGGTTGCACGTATACAGACAACCCTGTTCTTAGCTTCCCTCTGTGCCTCTCACCCAGCCTCACCCCTCCTAACCTCTGCACCAACCACTTATTCTTGTTCAGACCAATTTCCAGTCTTTCGGTAGAAGGAGATCAAGTAATGGGGCCACCCACTTAAAATCTAATCTTCCACAAAACCTTGAAGATGGAGGGGTTTCAAGAGGACACTGGCAGAAAACCCAGCTCTAATTGGCAAAAAGGAGGTAGTTCAATAGGCTATGACCTCTAAATAGTTATTCTTCTTGATGATAAAAACAACAAAAAGTATTCCTGCTGTACAGACCTGGAGCTTCTACCCACTTACCCCTGAGATTGCTCATGAACCTGAGAACACAGTGCAGGGATGAGGGCCTTGGGTTAACATACACACAAATACAAAAACCAGAATATGTTACGAAAAAAAGTTAAAATGCATGAGGTACATCATTTGCATACAGCTAGTGCAGCTGGCATCCTGGAGAAAGTGGGACCCAAGGTGCAGTTATCCAGGGGACCAAATAAAATTGTATTGGTCCAGAAATGGGGTGGGAGTGAGCTTAGGAGCAGCAGGTCTGTAGCTGTTCCTCAACCATCTTTTTCACCTATGGTCATAATCCATCGCTTGGGTCAATTCTCAGCACCATCTCCCAAGAGTGGGGGATGAGGAAAAACCCTGCTGTACCCCTGAGAGATTCTCTGCCACAGAATGTAGTCGTTTGTGGGCTGGGTTCATCAATCTGGTCTCATGCTAATCTTTTCACTCTGGCAGGGGAGATACCATTACACAGCATTCTTAAAAAAAAAAGCAACTTCCCTCTCTAGGTCACTTTCCAAAGCTGGAGACTCAAATAAAGCACACACAGAGGGATTTGCCCCAAAGTCCTCACATGCAGCTGGATGGAGTGTGGCTGGACTTCCTTTACCTCTCCCCTCCCCCCACCAGGAAGGAAGAGGGGTGAGGCTATGGAACCCAGCTTGAGACACATGGCAGTGCCAGCTGTCCCTTATCCACCCGTCCCCACTTTCTACTTTCTGCCAGTTGATGCCTGCTCTTTGAAACTTTCCGATCACAAAAGGGTAGCCCCTGATCCACCGTAGCTCATTTCTGGCATCTGGGAGCAGGGCAGGGCTATGGATCTCTTCTTTAGCTCCAAAGCAGGCTGGCTTTCCCTGTGAGCTGGGGGCCTATTGGGCCTTCAGTGGACATGAGGCCACCACATGGCTGATCTTTTGGCAGAAGTGGCACTTCTTGGGCAAGGGTGGCAATTTGCCTTTCTTGGAGTGATGGGCCAGACCTCCACAGTTGTAGCATCTGTCTCCTTCTGATCTGCACTTCTGCTCGTTCTTCCCCTTTGGCCTCCTGTCCAATACAGAACACTCCACCAAGGCCCATAGATAGATTAGATTAGATCCCAGGCCCTTGGCAGACTTCTTAAAGGTGAACTCACTGCCTCACCCTCCTTCAGGCTCCAGAAGGCCTTCCTGAGCAGCTTACTCTGGTGCACAAAGATATGCACTGGTGGGTCTAGTGCGACCTTGATGTGGGCCATCATGGACAGGAAGCCAAATTCCACTTTGAACCACTTACAGATGCCTGTGCCCTGCAGCAGCTGTGGATCCTCTGACAGGCTGCATCTGCCCGGTGTCTTCTCTGGTGCTTTGGCACAGCCACCTGCAGACTGTGGATCTGACAAGGAGCCCATGATAGTCAGCTAAGCCCATGGCTCAGGCCACAGGTGGGGACTGTTGGACCCAGAGAAGTCCAGAGGCCTGATTATTTCTGTATCTATTTTCTGTGTTACTTTGTTTTGGTAAAAGCTTTATTGCAGTACAAGATATTTGCAATGATACCCTCAGTGAGGGGCTAATCTCCAAAATATATAAGAAACTCATACAACTCAACAACAATAAAATAATCTGATGAAAAAATGGGCAAAGGATCTGAATAGATAATTTTTGAAGGAAGACATATAGAAAGCCAATAGATATATGGAAAGATGCTCAACATCACTAGTTATAAGGGAAATCTAAATGAAAACCATGAGATACCACATCTCACCTATGAGAATGACCTCATACGTACAAGAATGAGAGGATGTGGAGAGAAGGGAACCCTCGCACACTGCCAATGGGAATGTTACTGGTGCAGCAACTATGAAAAACAGTATGAAATTCCCCCCCCCCCAAAATTAAAAATAGAACTACCATATGACCCAGCAATCCCTGTTCTGGGTGTCTATCTGAAAAATCTGAAAACACTTATTTTAAAGATACATGTACCCCTGTGTTCACTGCAGCATTATTGACAATAGCCGATACATGGAAACAACCCACATGTCCTTCCACAAATGACTGGATAAAGAAGGTATGGCACATGGATACAATGAAGTCCTACTCAGCCATAAAAACGGTATCACCACTATCAACAACACGGATGAATATTGAGAGTGTTATGCTAAGTGAAACAGGTGAGACAGAAAAGGACAAGAACCATATGATTTCATTCATATGTGGAATATAAAACAGAAAGCAACAAATAAACAAACAAGGCAAATGTGTAAACAAACTAAAAAACAGATTCGTAGATGCAGACAACAGAATGGTGGTTACCAGAGAGGAAGGGGGTGGCGAGAGGAGGATGAGGGTAGATGGGGCTGAACACAGAGGGACAGAAGGAGACGAGACTTCAGGAGGTGAGCACACGATAGAGTACAAAGGTGTTCTCTGAAGTCATACACTTGAACTTTACACGATATTATTACCAATGTTACCCAATAAACTTAATTGTAAAAAGCTTTATTAGGATAAAATTCACATACATGTGTCAATTTTACATATCTTTTGTTAGATTTAATCAGAGCTATTACATACCTATTATTATTATTGTTATTCTTATTTACTAGTATTAATGTCACTTATTTAAAAATTACATTTTCTAAATTTAATAGTAAATGCTATTGTACATTTATAATGAACACTATTTCCATTAAAACTATTTTAGCATTGTTTCAATGAAAGAGTCATTAAACAAAAAAAGAAGACCCCAAATTAATTGTTTCTCATAACTTACACCAGTATTAATGAGCACTTACAGAACATTAAAAAATCACTATACAATTGTAATAAGTAAAAATAAATAGATTAAATTATGTTACTGTGTTTAGCTTCTGCTGCCTTTCATGCCAGTGGGACAACCTCTTCAGCTTTTAAACCTGTCTACAATTTGATTCTAATTCCAACATTATTTGTTGATTAGCTATTTGGCTGATTGTTTTTCACAAACACATATATGCCAAATACTTTCTTATTTTCTACTTCTACCTCCCATAATCTTTGCTGCAATTTAAACCTGTTCTATACATTGCTGCTTCCTTGCCTATGGAGTTTCTCATCATTTCGAGTTCATTTATTCAACACCTACTATCCATTAAATCACACTCATAAACCTAATATTTTTTCTTCAAATATTCCACCTTATCTTTCTTCCATTTCAAATAATTCAGTTTCCTATTATTTCCTCGGACTAGGCTACATGTACATTGTGAGATTCCACCTTCGGGGTCTGGGCAGGTGGAGAGGGAGCCCTGACGGTGAGGTGTGCCACCGGAGGATGCGGATACTCATTGGGCCTTGCTGTCTGCATACTAATTCTTTCCTATCTCAGCTTATGATCACACCCCTTGATATGTGCTTTACTGAAGAACATTGACAATCAAATATAAGATGTGATGGAATGACGAATTCCCATTCTTTAGATCTAAATTTAGATTGTAATATTTTCAAATGGGTTTACAATTGTCCTAAATGCATTTCTTACTGGGTTCCTCCAGGCCTTATTAACATTTTATGGTTCATCTCTATATTTTCACCTTAGTTGTATAGGGAAAAGCCCCATGGAGAGACCATTCATGGCCCACTGGTTACTTCTTCTTCACTGATAGTTTTCTGTAAAAATCCTCAGCTACACCTGTCGTTCAGTAGTTCCCTTCCTGTCCTTGCTTGTTCAGTGCCTTTAGTCTCTATTGCCACCCCCATTCTTTCTGTCCATCAACATTTTGCTAAATCTTATAGATTTAATTCAATGCCCATTTATAGAACTATTATTAATGAAATCTGGCCTAAATGGATCTTCTTCTATTTGTATTTCTACAAAGAGTTTGTCACATCCTCTGTATATACATCACACACTTGCTTTGTCTCAGAATCACTGTTTTCATATTTTTAAAAATTTAATCTGACTGGAATTTAGCTCCCTCAAGAGCAGGCTGCATGGATGGTAGAAAGAGGCTGGATTCAGAACCTGGTTTGATTTGTGGCTCTGCCACTTTGCAGCTGTTTGCTCTGGGCAAGTTACTTAATACCTCTGGTCCACAATTTTCTTCTCTGTTAAAAGAAGCAGCAGCTACCTTCCTCATGCGATTATGGTGAGGACTAAATGTGACACATATAATGTGCTGTGTACAAAGTAATTGCTCTAAAAAGCTATTATCTTTTTCTTACTAGGTAGAAAACATTAAATTATGCCATGGTAACAAACAGTCCAAATCTCAGTCACATAACACAGAAATTTATTTCTCTCTTGGATTTTCTATCTAACGCGGGTTAATAGGGAGGCCCTGCTGAGAGGAGTGACTTCCCTCAGGGTAATGGAGACTCATCTGACACTTACTTCTAGGACCAGGGGAGCAGTGGGGAGAGAGCTTGGCAAAGGCGTTGGCTCTTAAATCTTCTGCTTGGAAGTAGTACACTTTCCTTCTACTCACATGTCATTGGCCAAAACAAGTTGCCTCTTATTTATGGCCAGTCCTTCAGAAGTGTAGGTAACATCCTGGAGTTACTAGAAATGAGTTAAATTGTTGGACACTCAGCTGGTGTTGGCAAAATGCTTGGTGGGGGAAAATTCCCCACCCATTTAGTATCAGAAGTGCTGTGAGTGTGGAGGTAGTGTGTGGGCAAAGGAGCCACAGAAGAGGAGAACTGGGGTTTTCCCTACTAAGGTGGAAAACTGGGAGTTTTCTCAACTCAAGTAGGCTGTTCTGTTCTAATGCTGTAAAGTGTTGTGATTCTATCACAGAGCATTGGATTTTAATGCAGGGAAGGTCCTGGTAGATTATCCAGTCTAGATGATCTAGCCAGCCCTCCTCCATGTTTTCCCAAAGTGGTTATTCAGTCTCTGCCTTAGCACCTCTGTTGATTAAATAGACTAAAAGTTTGGCAAGAGTTTCTTACTGAAATAATTAGATTTCAGTAGGGTCTTCCATGAAGGTCTGTGATTTACAAATTTATAGTTCTCTGTTTTACTTTTAGAGGACTTTGGATGTTGTCTCTGCTCATAAATCTTGCTGTGGTGCTAACACCTGATAGCACAAAGAACATTATTAGTAGAATAAAAAAGATTGATGCATCCTACTTCAACCTGTAGGTGAATTGTTGTTTAATGTGATTGTTCTGTTTTATGTCAGGGCTTTGTCCCACCTTGGTGAATACTGAGACATAATGTTGCAATTTAGTCAGGAGAGCACCAGGTGGTACATAATGTCATCACTGAGTATGCCGTTACTATGGCACCCAGCACCCGATTCCAGCTCTATGCTTTCACCATCTTTCTCTGTTTTCACAGAGGGACAAAAACTGCTGCAAACCAGATTTTAATATTTTAAGCATAGCTAGGAGGTTTTGTTCTCTATCAGGATGGATGTTCTTTTTTATCATTCTTTTTTGTCAAGCCATTTCACTGTGCATAATCCAAAGTTTCTTTTGGTGTAAATAGAGTCATTTCCAGATAAAATATTTTGGAGTGTTACCACTGTGGTCTAAAAGTTGAACCAGAGAAAGAATGAATCTTTGGGAAAACACGTTAGTGAACAGAAAGTTGATGGCCTTCCTGTGTACTGGGGAGACTAGCTGGTAATTAAACGATCTTCCTAGTTTGTAAGAACCTTAAAATATATGGATTGTTTATTTGGTTCCCCAGACACTGCAAGACAATCTTCTGTGTGACACATTTTTAAGGAGGAGTTTGGACACAACAAAGGCTTATGACGTTAAGATTTCTCTTAATTAACCCAAAAGCTTTATGGTGATAAAGGTGATAAAGTGTGATATTTTGGTATGATCTTTAAGAAAGAGAAAATGGAATCCTAAATCTCAGAACCATCATTTTCCTAAGTATATTCTGTAGGATGTTACTAAATGTTATACAACAGATTATTTCATTGAGAAATGCTGGGTTAAATCAAATTAAGCAGGTTGACTCATTGGAAGAATTCACAGGGTGAATTTCCAAGAGTTGGATAGGGTATGCAACATTTTCTACTTTTATAACACCATGATTTTATTTTTAAACAGAGTATGTTAATGGTCTCATGTTCCCCTAAGCAACCTTTGGGAACACCTTCCCTAAATTCTCCTTTGAAAAAAGTTTTGACTGCTCTACAGCCTACATAGATAAAGCATATTTTGCTTAATTAAGCAATGTGCACATGGTCAGATAAAAACAGTTATTGTAAACAACGATGGATAATAAAAGTCAGAATCCTCAAACATGCTAGAGCATAATCTTCCGTGATGGATAATGGAATGAATGTACAGCTCTAGCTGCTGGTGTCAAGGGATCAAGAGCTCAGCAGAAACTCGGACCTCTCACCATGTGAGTACAAATGAACAAGCTCCATTGCGAAGATCCCATCCCCTCACGGATGTG